ATAGTGAAGTACAATTTTGATTTGAATTCTAATCAGATTGAGTATATATATATATATATATATATATATATATATATATATATATATATATATATATATATATATATATATATATATATATATATATATATATATATATATATATATATATAAATAACTCTGCAGTCGAAATGTAATTATTTAGCGTCATCTGAACATTATGGCCACCATTGAGAAGTTTGTTACAAATCGAGGGAATGCCGGCTTACTTATCGATGGTTATAAATTTAGAAAAAATAAGACTTTCAAAAACTCAAAATTGTGGAGATGCGTTGAAAAGAGTTGCAAAAGCAGCTGCAAAACAGACCTCAACGAATTATTGGTATTAGATTAATTTTTTTGTGTTTTATGAAATAAAATTGATTTAAATAATAATAAAAAAAAAAACCATCCTGCTCAAAGTCCTACTTTTACCTCCCCGTGGTGAGCAGGAAAACAGGTCTTATGCATGTATAGGTTGTACTGTACACGCATAAGTGGCTGGCTAACGAAAGAGGGTAATGAATACTTTTATATGTAGCGGTAATGTAACGTTTTTTATAGCGGTAATGACTATGTAGCGGTAATGAAAATTTCGAAATTTAGCGGTAATGATACCCACCCGAAATTAAGTACCTTTGAACACGATTTCTGAAGTTTTTTAACAAGCGTTAAATGTAGTCTAACAGTTTAGAGGTGTTTCACATGAAAATTAGGTTTCAACAAACAACAGAATTGAAGACTCTCTTTAACAACATTGTTAAAATGGAAGTGGGTTTCATCGGAAAACATGCATCTGTAAAATTTTCAGAATAGGGTCTACCTAAAATCATATGGGTAAACCCTACACGACCTCTAATTTCTCTCTCTTTTAAATGCTGAGTTACACTTATCTTGTATGGAATCAATTTTAAATCAAATTTGAGTATTAATTTTAATTTATTAACACTAGATTTACCAAAGGTGGTATCTTGTTCATGTAGGGCCCGTCTAAGGAATTGTTGTAAAGTTTCAGTGATAACTCTATCAATGGTACAACTGTTCTTTTCAGTACGGACACTCTTTGGTCTTCTAATACCCGAATTAAGTCGTGTGTCATTTATGGTGCCTTTAACTTCAAACTCCCTCATAATACAGTAAATTAGTATTCTGTTGAGCACTTTCATTACAGGATGTTGTTCTCTCATGGTTCTAATGACTAAAGTAGCAAATTTAGACCCATAGTAAAGTACTACAATTTCTACCCGCTGTTCACATGGGTGTTCCATATTAAAAATATGATGACATCATTAGGGCATTATAATTATCCAATTATTTCACAGAATTTCTCGCAAGTTTGTCAGATAGAATGTATGCTAATACACTAGATGTTGACAAAATATCTTTGTGAATACTTTTGGTTTGATAAAGTTATAGATGATTAAAAGTGTAACATATGTTTTGGGATACCCTGTACATGTATATCTTTTAAAATTCTTTACTCGCTTAATTAGAATTTGATATGAAAATTAATTAATATCCTGATGACATAATCTAACACTAACATCAGGAAATTGTCATTTATGTTTCAAAATATCTCAAACTATTTGTTTTGTTTTTAGAAAAAAATTCTCAAAATATAATGAAGTGTTCCTAGAACAGGAAATCAATCATGAATTCTTGAAAAGAGCATATTGCACAGTTCTGGAATAGCTAATCAATATAATAATTTGCAAGTTAATTCCATTGCAGAAAATATCAATAAATATATGAAAATATATATGAAGTAATTTGAAATACCAAATTAGCGGAATTTTTTGGGAGGATTTAATTTTCTTATTATTAGCGAGGGTGCCTAGATCGCTAAAATTGAATATCGCTAAAATTTTACCAATTACTTTTTATTTGTAATATTTTCTTTACCGAGCTTTTTAAAATTGCAAAAATCACATCTCGCTAAAAATAAAATGCCCATTTTTATGGATAAATCGCTAAATTTTTGTCTCGCTAAAATTTCCACTTATACCGTATATACGAGGGTTGATCCAGAAGTTCGTGGAATTTCTTCATATTTTATTTATTATTCAGTGGAATTGGTTGAAAATTACAAATGAAAATATAGACACTTGATAAATATTTTAAATTAAAAAACATTTTAAATATCTTCGATAGTAACTTTATGGCAGTTGCCATAGAAACGGTTGTTTGGAAATGCGGGGAGACATTAACGCGTTTATTATCATTTAAATTCTGAATTCGTGAAATAAGAATTAAACGGCCCTATGTGGTATATAAAACGAAAATTATGTCATTATTACGATTGCTTGATATTTTATAAACCTTTAAGTGAGAGTTTTACTGATTTTACTGGATATTTAGTTGATAAGTTGATGATTTAATGCTCATCTCTAAGTTGTTAGATAACGTCAAATATCGGTCAAGTCACACGTTTTGTGAAAATCCCGGGATCACTCTATCTTAAACGCGTATATCATAGACAGAGGCTTGGGAAAAATGCATTTAGTTACTGGTTTTCCAGTAGTATAAGAAATTTAAGAAAAATAGAACTTCCACGGACGTTGATAAAAGGTGTGGTCGCTTTTTAGAGGCTCTGTTTAAGTACGTATCCCCCTAGACAAATTAAAAGCGTTAATGGACGTTGTCGGCTGCCGTACTGTTCTTGACATTGCTCATGTTGCTACTGAAATTGGAACATCATATGGAAAGGTGGGTAGTATTTTGAAATATGAGTAAAAAATGAAGATAAGTTGGTGCGAGAGGATACTCGATCAGGCTTTTCTTGAGAAAAAAACGGAGAAAAAGGCAGCATTTTGTAGAATTACATATTATAATTGGACATTTGGGCGAGATGCTTCTATAACGTGACGTGACATATCCAACTTGACGTTACGTCGAAGTCTCCCCCGGGTTTCCCAACTATCAACTTTCAGAAAGCTCGTGTGACCTTATTGGTAATTAGAAAGAAGTGAAATTTTCCAATATTGTTGCATTATGACTCTATATTATGAATATGCCTGTTGATTGATTTCATCAAATCACGATAAAATTTTAAAAAGAAATTCCGCGAACTTTTGGATCAACCCTCGTATAAGTACAAGATGAAATATGTTGGAATAAGGAATTCAAATTTTGACATACAATCATAATCAAATCAAATTTTGATGTTCTTTCAATTTTGTTTTTCTTCTTTTGGTTTTTTTTTTATTATTATTGTTGTGAAGACACTGCTAAGGATTAACAGATGAATTTAACAGGTAAGGTGAATGCAAAGGGACTTGGACATTGTGTGGATTTCAATATAATATCAAACTAGCATGTTCTAGTGTGTTTAAGTTCCAATTCGTTAAGCTATATATTAATAATTTCTGGACGCCTTTGATTGGCACACATCTTTGTACTTTTGCAAAGCATCATAATTATATTCCTTTTATTAACAAAAGGAGGAAAAGGGTGACAGCACTTAAGAATCTACGAAATTTGCGTAAAAGTAAAATTTTAAAACGGACACTTTTCTTTTAATTGCAGGAATGATCAACATTTTATCTACAACTTTACTTAATTAATTACAAAAAATAAAAGTATGTATATACGATGTACTAATCTGTTTTCTGAGACGGGGGCCATCACAAGTTTTTCAATCTTCGTACGATAATAACGCCCACTTTTTTTTTACCGACTTTATACATAGTCAGCGCATGTTTGTCTGTTGTTCTCCTTTTAAGAGTAGTTGTATATTTGCATTAGTAATGTTGTGTTAAAAGGATATTAATAGATAAACATACGCTCATGGTTTCAAAAAGAGAAAAAAAAACTGCTTCTTCTTAAGCTCGCTCTCTCTCTGTTGTAACCAAAGACTGTGACACGTTGAATATTATAATTCACCACGTGATTTCTTTCTTCCAGTAATTTTGTGAATACAAAATTCCGTCACGTGACTTATAGGTAGCATGTTTTGTGCTAACTAGGACAATGTGATCGAACACGTTTAAAAATATTCAGCCATCGATTTAAAATATTCCTTACTTACATGGATGGGCACATGCGTTTACAACCGTTCCAAGTAATGTACCATACAGAATGAATAGAAAGATGGAAAAATAATGATCTTGTATTTTCAATACATGTCAATGTTATTCATCCAGTCTAATTTTAGATCTATTCTTACGATATGTTCGCTCCACCTATCATACATACAAAATGTTCAATCAAGGGCAGGTAAGCGTAAATGATACGTATTCTGAAAACCGTAAGGACAAAAACATGAAATTATTTATTGCATTACAGTCTAAAATCATTTTTAACATTTATATTTGATGTCTAATTGACAGACTTCTGTCGTAATTATGTAAAAGTAAACTTATGTCAAGATTTAAAAGCAAAAGCGACCGAAAAAGACCCAAAACACACCGTTAAGGGTCATAAACCCTCTGCTCGCTCATATGAAATTTTTCCTTAACTTTTATGATTTTCCAAAGCAAATGTATATTCTGAATAAAATACAAACAATTATAGCATGGCTTGCGGGGCAAAATTTGACAAAAAGGCACTTAAACTTGACAAATTTATAAACTTAAGGAATAATAGACATTTGTGTCATTAAGAGTTATCTCTCTTATCAGAGTATAAATGTACCTTCAGTGCAGTTATCCTTTGTGTTGTATTTAATGAACATTAAATTTTATTTATTAAACTTTAATCCCGAAAATTTATAATGAATTGTTATAAAAGAAACACACCGGGGTTGTCAGTTCGTCTTCAGTGATATTTGTCGTTTCGAAAAACTGCACATAAAAACATAATCTAAACATATGAAAAATAACTAAAAATAATAGAGCTCATGCCAATGAACACAGTCATTTGACTTAATAATATATAATGTCATTGAATTTTAAGGATTTGCATTTAAGTACAATTCCTTACACTTACATATGTTTATATTAAGTAAAATTAAACTTGTAAACACACCGACGGTGAAAAATGTGTCAATCCCTTATTTGCTCATGCTCTGCAAATTAATCAATTTTGAACATGTTTAACCAAAAAAAAGTAAAGTAGCTGTGGTGATTCTGAAATTCACCTTGATTTTGTCAATTTATTTCCCCTAGTTTTGACTCAATTGTTCTGGTATTAAGTAACTCCAAATAGTATCTATGAGGACACTGCTAATCGCAACTGAACGTCATCCGAAGCTAAATTATCATTACAGCGAAGCTTCATTTTCCCTAAAATAATGATCCCAAAGTATAGTATTAAAAAAAAAAATTGAGATACTAAAAAATATGAAAATACCAGTTTTAAGGCCTGTAATATATTTATAATGATTAATTGACGTTAAGTAATTACTAGTGCATATAGAACGACTAGACTGGGCATTCCTCTCGCTTGTTGTGTACTTGCCGCCAATTCTCTTGGTGATGAGGTGATATATGGTAGTTTCGATTTCATCATCTGGTGCTCGTGTAGATTCTGGGATTTCTTTTGCCGGGGAAACTGTTGATTCCCTGTCTAAATTATAGATTTTAAAGTTTTGAGTTTTTTTTTCTTTCCTTTCTTTAAAATGTAATGTATTACACTAGGTTGACTTAATTGAAATATCGTAACATTCTTACCTAGTTGACATTTGTTGTCTTGACATGTGCATCCGATAACACGGTCACATGTCATGGGTGGTTCACAAGCACAACGATTCAGACAATATCTGCCATACCATCCGAAGGGACATATCACTCCACAGTTGTCTCCCATCAAGCCCGGTGGACATTCTAAGCATTATATCAAAAATAATTTTTTTAGACGACTAGTAGTAGTTAAATCAATCAAATTCAAATTAAAAACTTCTTGAAAGGCCGTTTAATAAATAAACAAACAGACAGACCTTCACATTTGTTTCCATTTAATCTGAAGTTGGGACAGCAGTGTATCTGATCTGTTGTTCTATTAAATACAATTATAATATTATTTTGTTTTCACAATGTTTTGCACTTATAGCTTTTCATTTGAATATAGAAAAATGTATATTTTTACAGTTTATAAAGATTTAATTTTTTAAATGACGTACCCTTGTTGTGGACATTCACCAGTACTGATAACCCTTGCATGTAATTTTCCAAACAAAAAGTGGTGTAGAACAAATGTAAAGATAATCTGTATGAACGTTGCCATAATCTTTATACTTGTACATCCGTTAGAAAAACATTAAGATCTATGCATAAATTGCGCATGCATTTAGCATATCTATGCATTTATAACCAAAATAATCGTAACATTTTCACAAGATATACGACTCTTTAGCTATTAGTTATTATCTATATACAGCTTTACGAGGAAGTCTATTGAAGTATTTAGTTAAAATGAACTTTTTACATATTTTCCTGATATTGCCCATATCAAGCATTCATCCAAGCCTTTGATATGACATTACTTTAATGTAGATATAATAATTCTAGTATCAATTTTTTAAAGAGTGATTCGAGTGTCATCAGAACCGTAGATTCAATGCAGCACAATAGTTTTTTAAAAGGTTTTGTGATATTTAAATATGTTGTTGTAGTTGACATTTTTACCCAAAGAAAATTATTACCAAAAGTAAACTGATGGAAAAGCATCAATTCGGCCTCAAACAAATTTTAGAATTTCACAATTTTTAAAGCATCCATGCAAGGAAAGCACAAGATATTTAAAGCTGAAACAGGGATCATTTTTTGATTTCAGGCTATCTTCAAAGCAAAATAAATATATAATTTTTAAAAATTAAATAAATAGAAAGGAAATGCATCTCTTTAGATCTCCTAGATTTTGATTATTAGCTCCTCTAAATTTTTTATGTATTTTTATGAGAAATTTCCATTTTTAAGTGCTTTGCCTTACAAAGTCACAGTTATGGTAGAACTTCTCGAGGAGTCTGTTGCGTTGATTTGGTGCAATTGTTTGCAGATCAATTGCTATAGGTTCCCCTCTTCTCTCAATACTCCAGTCTAATTTACGATTCAATACCTCATTATGTATTTTATTTTTAAAATATGATTTGCTGTTTTAATTTTAAATTTTGCATGGAAGTTTTTTGTTGGAATCATAATGCTGTATTTGAGATCTATTCTTGACAGAAATATTGACATAACATATTCATTACTCATTTGAATGCTGTTACGGTGTTACGGTGCAAACTTTCTATTACAAAGAAGAAAGAGGAACAGGTTCAATCCCTGTTATTGGCATATATATTTTTTATATATATATATATATATATATATATATATATATATATATATATATATATATATATATATATATATATATATATATATATATATATATTGACTATTAGCTAGGTATGAATAGTTATTCCAACTTTTCGTGAATTTATTCTTAAAATTTGTCCTTCTCTTTAAGATACACACAAGTTTTATATTGCTGTTTTATATAAAGTTTGCAGTACAGATATTTACATGTATCTTACACACATGTACATGATTGTATATTTACCTAGAAACATTTTATACTTTCAGCTAGTGTTTATATTGCTGCCAGTGTAAAGACGAATAATGACCCCTATAGAATATTCAAAAAATGACTCCCGGTCATTATCCCACGGCGAAAATGACCCTTTTGCCCGTAAAAAAAAGTGTCATCACCCTAAAAATTTGCATAACCCACGTAAAGAAAAATGACCCCCGTAGAATGACTCTCTTGTGAATTAAATTGGTGATATCTTGATTTCATATAAATATACAGTTATTGCTATTTTAAGGTAAATGCGATGATTCAGAATCTAAAGGAGTAAAATATTTAAAGAGCACAAAGGGCTGGCTGAACATTGTTTTTTCGATTATGGAGAATTATCGTACTGACAAGAAATGTAGCAATATTATATGTTACTAGTTTGTTACCCCTGCTCGAAACGCGGGAGGTAATGTAGTGATCAATATGTCCGTCTGTCTGTTACGCTTTGAGTTACCCCTCTCTTATCCGCAACTCCTCATTTACCGCTGAATGAAATTTAATGAGACTTTCACATGCAGAATCTTTGTAGCATAGTTTCATTGTGCATTTTCTATTTTACTTTTTGATCAGACACATATTAATGAATAAAATGTCACTTAGTGCTCACAGTACCTCTAGTTTAAATCTTGCTTTATTCAACCCATTTACTCTCTTCTGTGTATATTTTTGTACAGTGTTTAATATGATAATCAGTACATTTAATTTCATTTTTGTAACGTTTTCTTCATACTGAAGTAAAATATGAAAATTAATTGAGGACCATTCCTTTTTATTATACATGTATATAATTTGACGTGTATACAACTGTACCCGTAAAATATCTAAACAGCCCACAGACAGTCAAACTAGATGATAATCCCCATTTCCACATGATTATAATGGCAAAATGTATGTTTTGCTCTTTGACACCCAAAACACGTATTAGATAACGAAGTGTTGGTCATGTTAGAATGTGCACATGGGGAATTGAGGAATTCTTTTTTCATTGCCTTTATGAAATAATTCTTTATTGATAACAAACATAAACGTCATGAATGAAACATATGGAGATAACGAACAGTATTTAAGATCAAAAGTCCATAAAACAATACAAAATAGGAGCAGAACAAACACGGACCTCTAAAACTTAAGAGATCAGATGCCATGGAGGAGTGAGCATCTCTTGCTAACCGTTCACACCCAAGAAATAATGAATATTCTACCATGATTATTGCCGACTTCAAAGAAAAGCCGCGGACATTATTCTCCAATAAATCACAAACGTCATCAAAAAATTATCAGATTAGAAACACGTATCAAACCTGAACAATTCAAATGCATGTTTGGCTGTAGAATGAAATACTTGTTTAGACCACATCGATGTGTCGTCTTTTGCAGCATAAACACTGTATCATGTTGCTGCTGAATGTCGGTCTTTATAGCAAAGCAGGGCTATTCCACGGACCTCCCTTCACATTTAAACAACGTGATTGTAGTCCCAATAAAGCAGTAAAACAGGAACATGATTTTTTTTATTGTATATTCATTAAAATTAATTAATACATGTTACGAACAAATTTGTAATTTAAAATGCAACGGAAGCTCACATCGTCTGCATTCCTTATACAGGTAAGCAAACAAAATTTCCCTCTGGTGTTAAATGGAACAGCGTAATCGAGACATGGTGACCTAATTCGTTTCTCTATAGAAAAAACAATCAGCCGTATTTATCGATCTTGGTAGCATAGAAATAAAGTCCTTGTTGTCGTGAATGATGCAGGATAACCTCTTCGGTCTCGAAATGTTGTTTGACATATAAAAGCCTCGGCTTTTATCTTTCAAACAACATTTCTCGACCTCGGAGGTTATCCTGCAACATTCACGAAAACACAGACTTTATTTCTTAAATAATAATAATAAAGAAAGATAATTTATATATATCTGCAAATTTTATAGCAAATATGTTAGATGATACTGAAGATAACAAAAGTATAAATTTTGACTTAAGTCTGTTCTCAGTTTATGGTCTAGCGGTCTGGTCACAAAAAACTACAAAGTTATTGTCAATCAGAAACTCATGCATCTTTTTGATGTGGACTTCAGGGTACATGTTTTTGTACAATCAGAATATTTTTTAAACAAAATTATCTTGCAAATGACAAATGACAAGGTAAGAAAATTTCCGAATAAGTTTTTAAAATTCGCTTTATACTTTGTCTTAATGGTTGTTATTAGGTTTTAATTTTTTTTTAATTTCTTCTCAGATACTAGTATTCATTGATTTTTGAATTTACAAAAAGTTGCTAGCATGAACTGCTGCCCAAGATGAATGTGCATAAGACATGGAATCAAATCGAACTGAGTTTCTGGATATGAGTAAAAGTGCCTAAAATAGCTAATAACTTGTAGAAGTTTCGGCATTATCATATAACATGGCAAAGATCTATGACATAGATCCGCGATATCTGCATGTTGCATGTCCTTTTTGTCAAAATTCCAAGGCTTGTTGGAACAACGGCAACGTGTTGACTTAGGACCTCTAGCTTGCGAGGATGCCCTATCTTATATACATAAATTAATTGACTTCGGTTGATCATACTGAAAATTAATTAAAGATATGTATTATGCATAGTACATGTATTTTTTTCCCTAAAGATTTGTGATGAAAATCTTTAAAATATTAAAATGAAATATTTTAAGGCCGATTCCATGCTTTGCATCAATTTCAATTTTAAAAATTTGGATCATTCTAAAAGGGGTCAATTTTAAAAATTTGGATCATTCTAAAAGGGGTCATTTATCAACGGAGGTCAATTTTTAGCTCTACTGGTCAAAGACCAGAAGAGCTTATGCGATAGTAATGCGTCCGGCGTCCGTCCGTCTGTCCGTCTGTCTGTCTGTCCGTCTGTCTGTAAACAATTTTTCAAAATGCTACTCCTACTACATTTTTGGTCTGATTTCAGTATAATTTGGTACACAAGTAGACTACACTAAGATACATAATTCTGTGTATCGGTTTTTGATTTCGATGAACAGTGTTGCCGTGGTTACTAAAAATAGAAATTTCTATGAAATACTTTTAAAACGCTACTCCTCCTACAGTTTTAGTTTGATCTCAATATAACTTGGCATACACGTTAACTACACTAAGGTACATAATTCTGTGTATCGATTTTTGATTTCGATGAACAGTGTTGCCGTGGTTACTAAAAATAGAAATTTCTGCAAAATTCATTTAAAATGCTACTCCCCCTACAGTTTTGGTCCGATTTCAATATAACTTGGCACACAAGAAGACTACACTTAGATACATAATTCTGTGTATCGGTTTTAGATTTCAATAAACAGTGTTGTCGTGGTTACTAAAAATAGAAATTTCAGTAAAATACTTTCAAAACGCTACTCCTCCTACAGTTTTGGTTTGATTTCAATATAACTTGGCAAACAAGTAAATTTTACTAAGATACACAATTCTGTGTATCGGTTTTTTATTCCAATGAACAGTGTTGCCATGGTTACTAAAAATATAAATTTCTGTGAAATACTTCTTAAATGCTAACTCTTCCTACAGTTTTGGTCTGATTCAATCTTATTTGGCATATAAGTAGATTACACTAAGAAGCACAATTTTCTTGAAGGATGTTGCCATGGTTAAAAAATAAAAAAATTCTGTTACTGTAAATACTTACAATATGCTACTCCTGCTGCACTTTCATTTTGATCAGATTTGAAAAAACTTGGTACTAAATTGTTTAAAAAACAAATTTAAATATTGTGCACACGGTATCTGTGCATATTATGTCTATATTTAATCGTTAAAATTACGTTAGGTGTACCCTGTCTCTCTGACAAATCAATTTTTATCGGGTTCGATGTTCATGAAAATTCTACACACAGGCGCCATATTGGACAACGTGCAGAAACGACAGAGAATTTGATTAAACTCTTTTTGTAGTTTGCGGGATTTTAAAGCTCTTAATTACGTTTACTTTTACTTAAAAGGTATTACCGGTAATTGTTTGATTTATTGTCTTTGAATGCTTATATATATATATATGAAATTGATGTATGAAATTATAAATTCAGATCAAGTGGAACGGTAACTATTAGACTTCCACTGTGGCGATTTGTAGAAGATTTTACTGTACTCTTTTTCCAGTGTGCGGGATTTTAAAAGACGATAAGCTGAAAACCGTGTAACGGATTATAAATCGAACGGTATCTGTGAAAACGGCACTTTTTATATGTTGTAGAAACGGCAATAAAAACGACTTTCATATTCCTAAGAGTTATCTCCCGTTCGGCCGTTGTCGGCGTAACGTTCATTTTTTCCCACTTTGCCCTTTGTTAGTTAGCTGTTAATATTTTTAATCTTCAAACGTTATCGGACAATTTCGATCTATACATGTTTTTCCAGAGTATGGGGCAACATAAAGAACGTAATGAACATATTCATACAGATTTTATTTTTAAGATACTGACCCATAAAGTTGGTAAGGTTAGAGATGGAAAACAGTGTCTTACACCAGTTGACCCCACAAAGGGAATAACTTTTGTAAATGTGAAAGTTGTGTGTATACTATTTGCAAAAGGCTTTTTACTACACAGTTTAGATTTATGAAGAGGAGAGCCCGGCCTCTAAAACTGGTCGCCCCAGGCGTCGGGCAATGGTAAATGCACATCCCTGTGTTTTGTGTTAGCGTGATGAAGTAAAATATAGTGGATTCCTATGTAAAACCAATGTAAAACGTTTATTGTGAAATCAATTACATTTACTCCTTAACGAACACAGATAATATCATGAAAATTCATCAACATTTTATAAAGAATGAATATAACACTTATGCAAAATTTCTAATTCCTATGATAATAAGGCAAGTTTGGTGAAATAATCAACATGCATATGTCCATTGACCCGGAGCGGCATCGCTATGTCATTTAAAGTCACTTCAGCCTGAGATTGTTTGCATGTAAAACGACCGGAAAGTGTATAAAACTTTTCCTTCTTTGTTATTTATTACATAAAACATTACAAAAATCAAACAAATCTCTTTTCTTAAAATATTCTTTAAAAATGTATGCTCTTGTTACCCCAGTGTAAAATTATCATTTGTGGGAAAATATGACTTAGAATCATGCAGTGCAGATTTATGCAACATGGATCAACAATATTAATACAGTACGTAATAACTGCACGATGGTTGTCTGGAGCTTTTGATTTTACTCTGGGTGAATTAATTGTTAAAAAATAAAAAAGAAACGTATACTTATGAAATAACGAACCTTAGCACATTTTTTTTCTCTAGTTGTTATTGTTCAGTCTGGAAAAGAGTTCTGCATTGCACTACACAAAATTTTAGGTAAGCTGGCTGCTCCACCCTTGACGTCAAAATCAAATTTTGCATTCTTAGCAGGTTTCTCTACCACGGTTCAATTTTTATGATCTGCGTATTCCTGATCAAATTTCTAACAAAGTTGCACATAATGAATTTGAAATAAAGCTGAAAAATTGTACAAATAAGCTGAATTATTTTCACTCTTATTATGGGTTCACGAAGAGTTTGAACGTTGGTGATACATATTTTCAATATCTAATTTTGTGAAAGCTCTGGCTACCCCTACTATTGACGCATTTATATACCATTGTACAGGAAATAGTGTATTTCAAATGTATATGCAAATTTTCACCGAAAGACGTTCATTAGAAAGCAGAATATACACATGTCTCGATAATTTTCAAACAGCCCTTGTATATGAAGGAAAAATTTAAGACATTTTTCTAGGTTGTTAATATAATTCAAATTTATCAGCTCGATGTTTTGAACTGTGTAAAGTATAGATCCAAGTCATATCAATTAAAATTATCTGTCCGTTTTTTTTTTCTTTGGTTACATTTTCAACACAAAGAAATTAAGTTTATTATGGTATCATAAAACTGCATTTAACTTCATTAGAATAAAATTACATAACAACTTCAAGTACGTGCTGCTAAGTGTTAGCATAGTTAAAGCATTTGATCAGCAATTTTGTATTTTATACAAGGTAGTAAATTTCCTGTACAGAATCTTGACCCATGTTGGTATCAGAGTTTTGTATTACCGATATGTGATTTTAAGTTCGATTTTGTATACGCATGTATTTGTAAATTATGGCATAGACTGAAGTTAGAGAGTTTTCAATATTGAAAAAAATTTAAAAGTAACACATATGTAAGGCACATAATGACCAGCTGATTATTTATAAGGTGTATAACTACAGTTGATATATACACTGTATATACAATTATTGTACACATTGTCACCTTACTTTGAAATGATGCACCTGAAATATGTAAAAGGACCACTCTGCTATATAATGGATCATTGGGACGTTGAGCAATATACATTCAATCAAGTCAAATTATGACATCAAGTCAAAGGGTAGAATGGTACCACAATAGGACATCAGAATTTAAATTTGATTAATTATCCCCCCCCCCCCCCAAAAAAAGTTTGGGGGGGTATATAGGAATCACCTTGTCTGTCTGTCCGTCTGTGCAAATGTGTCCCGTCCATATCTTTCTTACCGAGGGACGTTAAAATCTACTACTATACACAAAGATTGCCCATGACCTAAGGGTGTATCATGACCTTGACCCAAGGTCATTTGGGGAACTTCAAGGTCACTGGAAGAAAAATTTCATAATTCGTGTCCGGTCCATATCTTTCTTATGGATAAACTTGGTAGGTTCTCATTTCATGCAAAGATTGCCCATGACCCAAGGGTGTGTCTTGACCTTGACCCAAGGTCATTTGTGGAAGTTCAAGGTCACTGGAAGAAAAATTTCATAATTCATTTCCGGTCCATATCTTTCTTATTGATAAACTTGGTAGGTTCTCATTTCACACAAAGATTGCCCATGACCCAAGGGTGTGTCATGACCTTGACCCAAGGTCATTTGGGGAAGTCCAAGGTCACTGGAAGAAAAATTTCATAATTCATGTGTGATACCTATCTTTATTATGGATAAACTTGCTTCTGAAAAACCCAGCGGGGGGTATTTTGTCCCGTTTGGACAGTTCTAGTTATAATTTATATACAGGGAAAAGCCATAAAAATGATAAATCTTAAGAACAGCAAGGCCATGATTAGTCATGTATATTAATATACAAGAATCTTAGTACATGGATACACCTATATGTATATTAATACATTTGTGGTATCTTTCCATTATATAAACATACAGAGAGAAAATATCTTCAATACTGTATGAAGTTTGTCAAAGGGCAAAGGTCAATACAAGTTTTTAGCTCACCTGGCTCAAGTGAGCTTTTCTGATCACATTTTGTCTGGCGTCCATCTGTCCAGCTGTCTGTAACTTTTCACATTTTCGACTTCTTCTTGTGTGAAGGGAATTCAAGTTTGTTCAAATGAAGGGCCACACCCCATTTCAATGGGAGATAATTGAAAATTACAGAAAAATTTATGGCATCTTTGAAAAAACCACTTGGCCAGGAAATATGAAACTTACATTGAAGTATTCTTTGGTAGTGTAGATTCAGGTTTCTTCAAATCATGACCCCCCGTGGGTAGGGTGGGGCCACAATAGACGATCAAAGTTTTGCATAGGAATATATAGGAAAATTCCTTAAAAATCTTCTTGAGAACAGCAAAGCCATGATTGGTCATATTTATATGGAAGTATCCTCAGGTAGTGAATATTCAGGTTTGTTTAAATCATGACCCCGGGGGTAGGGTGGGGCCAAAATGGACGATCAACAATTTATATCAGAATATAAAGGAAAAATCGTTTAAAACTCTTTCTTGAGAACAGCAAAGCCATGATTGATCATATTTATATAGAAGTATCCTCAGGTAGTGTAGATTCAAGTTTGTTCAAAGCATGACCCCCAGGGATGGGGGGGGACACAATGGACAGTGTTGTGTCAACTACTCTCAGTACCAAATCTAATAGTACATTTTTGGTACATCACTCAAAGTGTGGGGGGGGGGTGGAGAGGGGCAACCAGGCTTTCTATTAACATTTCCTATAATAAGGTAGTAAGGTACGGGAAAAAAGTGGGGGGGGGGACCTGGGAACCCCTGTTGCTACGCCCCTGCAAGTTTGTTCAAATCATAACAATCCCCCCTCTCCTCTTTTAGGATCGAGATCACTTAAAAATTTACTGAATTGATAGCCATAGTGCTCAGGTGAACGATGTGGCCTACGGGCCTCTTGTGTTGTCGTTCACATTTGTTTATAAATTTCTTAGATGCCAAGAAAGGGAAAAGCTTCCCAAAGATCCAGAGATAAAGTTCATCGCAGATGGGTAGCAGAGACTCCCTCAAAGGACGGTAAGGATTCTGTTTCAGGTGCAGATCCTTTAAATGCCTTGAAGTTGGTACCTCTTCAAGGAAGTCTGCCTATCCCTGAGAGGGGTAACATAGCTATGTCTGACTCGCCAGCGTGCGTTTGTACACCAGAGAGTGTACCTTCACCAGTGTGTGAAGCAGGGCAGGCGCCACTAACTGACTCGCCGCGATGCGTTTGTACACCAGCGAGTGTACCATCACTGTCAGAAGTGGGTGATGCAGTTAGTAGGACAAATCAGAAAAGGTGCAAGATTCAAAATGAGGAAAATATACAAAACAAAAATGAGAAAGAAATACATGAGAACAATACAGAAAAATTGAAGAACAAAACTGAGAAAGAATTACATGAGAACAATATAGAAGAACTGAAGAACAAAACTGAGAATGAAATTCATGAGAACAATGTAGAAAAACTGAAGAACAAAAATCAGATAGATATATATGAGAACCATATAGAAACATTGAAGAACAAAATGGAGGATATGTCTGAGAACAGAATGGAACAGAAATTTCAAAATAACAGAAGCCAGGAATCATGCCAACAGGAAAGAAATATTCAATTAGAGAATGGGAAAGAAAAGAGAAAAAAGGTACAATTTGGTATGAGTATTGGCACTGGAATATTTTCATCTCTGCAAGGAAACTTTCATCAAGGTTGTACAGAATTATTTGGAATTACAAGTGGTAAACAATGTGTGGCTAATGCATTATCAAGCATAATTTTTTCAAGGGTAAAAAATCAAAATGCTTGGTTGTCATCAGACATTGACAAGATTTTGACAACTGGAAATGAACTTTATGGTTATCTGCAAGCAAGTTCAACTGTGCAGAATGAATATTTATTGATAGATGAATTACCAAATGAGATAGAAGTTTATGACAAATGCTTTTCTGTGCAAACTTTTGAATCGCAAGTTGGTTTAATTGGTAATGATGAAAGATTAAGAGATGATGTCGAAATGTTTGGTATGTCCATTTTAGAGGCATTGCAAAGGTCATTTGAAATGGCAGAATGTTCATTTGTTTGCTTTGGTGGAAACACTTTTTCTGTGATGAAAGTTGGAAAACAATACTTTCTTTTTGATTCCCATGCACGAGATCAGAGTGGATTACTTGATGCTAATGGAAAAAGTACATTGATTGGAGTAGAGACACTGGAAGGTGTGGCACAACATTGTTTGCAGTTGGCATTATCTCTCTCTGTTAATCAGAATTCTCAATTTGAAATAACGCCAGTAAATATCATTGAATTAGGTACTGATGACATACATATAGTAGAGGAAAGTTCATCTGATAGAGCAGCAGAAATTGAAAAAGGTGATGTCCTTCTAGATAGATATTTTGATGATCAAGAATGTAGACTGAAAAATATGGTCAAAAGAAAGGAAAAGGAAGGAAAAATCAAATATTCCAGAAAGGAGTACATTAGAAATTACATGAAAAATTGGAGGAAAAATGAACATGCTAGAAATATTGAGAAAGTAAGAGACAAATTGGCAAAGCAAGAAAAAAGATTAGACAATACAAAAAGAACCATTGAGAAAGAAAGGGACAAAACAGCAAGACAAGCCAAAAGGTTAGACAAAGAGTCAAGAAACATTGAGAAAGGAAGAGAAAGAGCAACAAAACAGTTAAAACGATTAGACAAAGAAATGAGATGCACTGAGAAAGAAAGGGACAAAAATGCAAGACAAGCCAAACGGTTAGTCAAAGAGTCAAGAAACATTGAGAGAGGAAGAGAAAGAGCAACAAAACGGTTAAAACGATTAGACAAAGAAATGAGATGCACTGAGAAAGAAAGGGACAAAAATGCAAGAAAAGCCAAACGGTTAGACAAAGAGTCAATAAACATTGAGAAAGAAAGGGACAAAATAGCAAGACAGGCCAAACGGTTAGACAAAGAGTCAAGAAACATTGAGAAAGAAAGGGACAAAACAGCAAGGCAAGCAAAACGGCTAGACAAAGAGTCAAGAAACACTGAGAAAGGGAGGGAAAGAGCAACAAAACAGGTTAAACGATTAGACAAAGAAATGAGATGCATTGAGAAAGAAAGGGACAAAATCACAAAGAAAAGAAAGAGAAATGACCCAATATTTAGACTTTCTGAGAAAGAAAGAGAGAGAAATGCTAAGCAAAAACAAAGAGCAAATATAGACATAATGAATAATGAACATGACAGAGATGTCAGAAGAAAAAGGAAGTGTAGGGAAGATTCTGCATTTCTTGAAATGGAACGCATAAGAAAATCTGTGAAGAGAAACAATATTGACTATCGTGAGAATGAACAGTCTAGAGAAAAGAGTGCTAAAGCCCAAAAAAGAAAAGATCCTCAGTTTTGTAGGAAGGAAAATATTGCAAGAAAACGCAGAAAGAATGGAACATCACTTACAAATGCAATATCAGCATTTAACAAAAGAATAGAAGAAGGACCATTATATGTATGTACATGCTGTCACCAGACCTGGTTTTCTCATTCAGTTGTTGATAGCAACTTTCTTAGAAAAAATTTACCTCCTGAAGATGTAGAAAATTTCTCACCAACTATGTTTCAATTGGAGGAAAAGAATGGATATGTTTAACATGTAAGAAATCAATACAAGAAAAGAAAATGCCAAAGTTGTCAATAGCAAACCATGTACAATTTCCTACCAAACCTGAAGAACTTGAACTTCATCACTTAGAAGAACGCCTCATAGCTTTACGGATTCCATTTATGCAGCTAAGAGAGTTGCCTAGAGGAAGACAGTTATCTATCAAAGGAAATGTTGTTAATGTTCCAGTAGATATCCAACCAACTGTAAACTCTTTGCCAAGACAGTTTAACAATGATATTACAGTGCCAGTCCGCTTAAAGAAGAGACTAAGTTACAAAACTTGTGATTTTGTGGAAAATGTGAGACCACAGCATGTAATCATTGCATTACACTGGTTGATGAGAAATAGCCAAATGTACAAAGATGCAAATATTCATTTAGATGATGAATGGGAAGCCAGAATAAATGCAGATAGCAGTGAAATTATTTCAGAATATTTTAACACAAGTACTTCTGGGTGTACTGAAGCAGGGAATACAAACCTTGATGGCACATCAGACAGGTTAGAAGAGAGTCATTTTGAAGAACTTGATGAAAGAGAGGGGAATTCTGGCAGTTGTGACACATTATTGGATGATGCAAATCCTGTGCAAGATCAGGTGTATACGTTTGCTCCAGGAGAAGGTCAAACCCCATTGAGTTTGTACACTGATAAGGATGCAGAATTCTTGTCTTTTCCAACCATTTACTGTGGTCAGAGGATGGCATCAAATGATGATCGTGAAGTTAAAGTTCATTACAGTGATCTTGTGAAATGGGAACTAAGAAATATTGACAGACGTGCAGCAAACAGTGTGCCAAATTTATTTTTCAAAATGAAGAAAATTCAAATGAAGCAAATATCAGACAAAGTCAATCTTGTATTAAGAAGATGCAAGGGCACAGAGAAGAAATTAACAGCTGGTGATGTTCTCAATCAGGAAATACTTGACAAGATAACAAGATTAGATGAGGGATATTACATTTTCAGAACTTTACGGAACAGTCCTCCATATCTTGAGGCCAAAAAGAAAGAGTTGTTTGCAATGATTAGACAATTGGGATTACCAACATGGTTTGCATCTTTATCAGCAGCAGATACACGATGGTCTGAGTTACTCAAAACTCTTGCTCAACTCAATCTCAAGAAATCACTAACTGATGAGGAAATAGACAATATGACATGGGCTGAAAAAACTGACTTGGTGCAAAAAGATCCGGTAACATGTGTTCGCTTTTTTGATCATAGAGTACATGTGTTTATTAATACTGTTTTGAAGAATGAGGATCATCCTGTCGGGGAACTGATAGATTTTTTTTATCGTGTTGAATTTCAGCAAAGAGGTTCACCTCACATTCATATGCTCATGTGGATAAAAGATGCTCCAAAATTTAAAGAAGATCCAGTGTCTGAAATTGCACAATTTATAGACAAGTATGTGTATTGCTCTGCAAACTGTGATGATGACGATAGAGAATTTGTAGATTTACAAATTCACAAACATTCCAGAACATGTAGGAAAAAAGGAAAAGACATTTGTCGATTTGGATTTCCTCAGCCTCCTATGGATTCAACTTTGATTTTAGAACCTTTAACAGCAGATGATCCAGATTCAATGAGATACAAAGAAATTTTTGCAAAGGTTAAGAAAGAATTAGCAGATATGAAAGAAGGGAAAAGTATTTCTTTCAATGAATTTCTACATTCACTGAACCTGGAGAAAGAAGATTACATAAAGTCAGTCAGGAGTTCCCTTGATGGACCACAGCTTTTTCTGAAGAGAACCCCTAGTGAAATAAGAGTTAATCCTTATATGAAAAATGTTTTAACAGCATGGCGAGCTAATCATGATTTGCAGTTTGTGTTGGACCCATATGCATGTGCCATGTACATAGTGTCCTACATTAGCAAGTCTCAACGTGGAATGAGTAATCTGCTTGATCAAGCATGTAAGGAAGCAAGAGAAGGAAATATGGATTTGAAAAAACAGGTTCGACACATAGGAAACAAGTTCTTGAATGCAGTTGAGATAAGTGCACAGAAAGCGGCATACTTGAATTTACAATTGCCTTTAACAAAAAGTTCAAGAGATGTTGTATTTATAAATACATCACCACCAGAAGAAAGAACTCTTCTATTGAAATGTAAGTCTGCTTTAGAAGAATTACCAGAGAATTCCACAGACATTCATGCAAGCAGTGTGATCAAGCGTTATTCTCAAAGACCAAGGCAACTTGAAAACTGGTGTTTAGCAGACTATGCAGCAGAACTAGAAATTGTATATCCAAAAGAATTCAAAGAAAGTGATGAGCTTCTAGAGCAAAATGATGATTCTGAAGATGAACAAGAATTCAGAGAATTGGAAGATGAAGAGATCAATTCAGAGCTGACTAGGATAGTTTTAAAAAATGGCATCATCATAAGGCAAAGGAGGAAGGCTAAATGCATTCGTTATGTCAACTACTCCATCAAAGTTGATTCTGAAAATCATTATAGAGAAAGGATTTTGCTTTTCCATCCGTGGAGAAAGGAAGAAATAGACATAAAAGGAAACAAATCAACATATGAAGAAAAATACAAACAACTGAAGAGTTTTATCCGTGCTAAAGTAAAGAAGTATGAACGCAATGCAGGGGAGTTGGAAGAGGCACAGAGGCAAGCTGAAGAGGCTGATGTACAATTTGATAGAGTTGCACCTAGTGCAGAGCAAACTGAACAAGAAGACTTGGAAGAAGGAAGTAGGGAAAGTGAGGCATTTGTGTATTTTGACCCAAAGCGTCCAGAAAATCACCAGAACTATGACATTGGAGTAGATCTTGGATTACCTAGTTGTTCTACTAATGATGATCAAACTCTTCAGTACAAAATGACCAATGAGTTGTATTTTCAGTTAGTTAGCAAGTTAAACAAAAAAGCAAATGGACTTCTTTACTCATGTGCTTCATTGGATTAAAACCAAAAAAGAACCACTTAGAGTTTTCCTTACTGGTGGTGCAGGAGTTGGAAAGTCTGTTGTTGTAAGAGCTTTGTATGAGGCACTCACAAGACACTATTGCTCTACTGAAGGTGAAAATCCAGATGACTGCAAGGTTCTACTTTGTGCTCCAACTGGAAAAGCTGCATTTAATATAAAAGGACAGACAATACATTCAGCATTCAAAATTCCAGCAAGTCAGGGGTTTAACTGCAAGCCTCTTGATAGTGAATCTTTGAACACACTTAGGACAAAGTACAAATATTTGTCAACGGTCATCATTGATGAAGTTTCAATGGTCGGAAATTCTCAGTTAAATTGCGTACATGAGCGTCTGAAGCAGATAAAAGGGAGCAAGGAATATTTTGGAGGTATCAATGTAATTTTGATAGGAGATCTTTTCCAGTTAAAGCCAGTAATGGATGGATGGGTTTTCGATGACTTGAAGAAAAACTTTGGACCATTGGCAATAAACTTATGGCGGGCATTGTTCACAATGCATGAGCTTACAGAAATAATGAGACAGAAAGATGATGTTCAGTTTGCTGAGTTACTTAACCGTTTACGAGAAGGAAATCAATCTGAAGCTGATATACAGACGTTGAAGCAGCACTGTGTAGATGAATCAAAATCAGAATGTTTTAGAAATGTTCCACGATTGTATACCAGAAATGAAAGTGTGAATGCTTACAACAACCAAGTGTTTCTATTGGCTCAAGGTGAAAAGGTCAATATACCAGCTCATGATTCTGTAGTAGGAAGGGAAAATTTAATACAGCACTTAAATTTGCCAGATGACTCCTCTAAAACAGCTGGATTGGCTAAAAATGTTCCCATAGCACTTGGTCTCCAGTATGAAATAACTGCAAACTTATCTGTTGAGGATGTGCTTACAAATGGTACATCATGTAGAGTAGAGTACATAGATAGGAGACAAGAAAACACTGAAAGACCAAGTATAATATGGGTTTCTTTTGATGACAGAAATACTGCAAAATCATGGAGATATCAGTATAGACATCTCTTTGGGCATGAAGTAGATAAGTCTTGGACACCAATATTTGATGTGAGAAGGAGCTTTCAGTACCTGCGACACACTGTTGTTCGTATACAATTTCCATTGCGACTTTCTGCAGCCAAGACTGTGCACAAATCTCAGGGGGACACAATGGATCAAGCTGTTATCAATCTCGATATGAATCCAAAATTTTCATTGCCACACATTCACTATGTTGCATTAAGCAGGGTTACGAAGATTACAGGACTTCATATCTTGAGTTTAAATGAAAACAAAATGTGTGCATCTGAGAAGGTGAAAAAAGAAATGTGTAGACTACGGACAGAAGCAACATTACAATTATGTTTTCAGCCGATAGATTCAACAAACAACCAGACCATAAACATTGCATTTCAGAATGTAAGATCACTGCATGCCCATTTTGAAAGTTTCAAAAATGAGCCAAATCTTCAACGGTGTCATATCATAGGAGTAGCTGAAACTTGGTTGACAGCATCAGTTGAAAATGAAGATTTTGAATTGGAGAATTACAGCATGTTCAGGTTGGATTTTGCATTAAATCAGCAATGTGCCAGACCCCATAGAGGCATTATTACATACATTAGAAATGACTGTCAAATCATTAATCATGTCAGCCACTCAGACAAAGACTTGGAATGGCAGTACAGTGAAGTAAAGTTTAAAAATGAGAATTATCAAGTTGTTGTGCTATATAGAATTCCTGGATCTACTGTTGAAAGAGCAAAAAACAACTTTATGAACAAATTGTCCAAAGTAGTTAAGAATCATCAGAATATACTCAGTAGTCATTATTGGGGATTTCAATATAGATCTATCTCATAGAGGCTCTTCAGTGGCTACATACATGTCTGCAGCTTTCAGTTGTAATCAGATTGTGTCAAAGTCAACCCATTCTTCTGGATCATTGATAGACCATATTTACACAAATGTGACATGTCATATTATCACTGATGTCATAGAAAGTGTTTATTCTGACTACAAAGTAATATATACATCTTTAGCTAGAGATATTTAAAGGAACTATTGAGGAACAATTGAGGAAAGAAAGAGTTCATTTTATTTTTTCATTAATGAATTGAAGCCAATGCCTCCAGTGAAGTTTGCCTATACCTGACAGGGGTAACATAGCTATGTCTGACTCGCTGTGTGCGTTTGTACATCAGCGAGTGTACCTTCACCAGTGTGTGAAGCAGGGCAGGCGCCACCACCTGACTCGCTGTGTGCGTTTGTACACCACCGAGTGTACCATCACCAAGTTGGTGATGCAGGTGGTTTTGGAAGTCATTCTCATAAGGTGCCGTTCACTTAAAGTGTATATCCCTCAGTATTTATTTCCCACTGAAATTTTGTTTCCCCTGATGCAGTTTCATTTATATTTTAATTACATGTATAAATATTACATCTTCAAGATTATTATTGAAAAAGAATTCTCTTCGATTATCTGTACTTTTTACGATGTTTGTGAATACATGATATGACTTATGTCAAATTTAATTTGAGTGTCTACAAGTGCATGAAACTCTTTGCTTTACATTTATATAATGTATATGAATCAACTATATGCATGCCATACTTATTACTTTTAATGGAACTAAGAAAGCCATTATGTTTAATAAATGAGAGAGACTTTTTATATGTTTGTATAATTTTTAAATTAATGGTGCTGAGGGATACACATTAAGTGATATTTGTTTTCTTACGTGATATAAGCTCCAAAAAATATTTACTGTACTTGCTAATTACATTTTTATATTAATGCCTCTATCATACCCATAATAACAGAGTTGTTCATTTGCTTGTAAATATTTTTACAAGTACTAGTGAACCTTTCTGAAAAGGTTATGCAGTTTGTTTTGTTTTTATCTGATTTTTACTTTATTTATTAATGAGCTTTTTTGGAGATGGATGTTGTCTCAATGTTATTTTCATTGGTAAAAATTGTTATATTATACAGTAAAACTTGTTTAGTACGAACAAGGAATACTGGTATTGTAAAATCACAGATATAGTGAAGTCATCTTAAATGCTCAGTTATATATTAAATAAACGAATTCCTTCTACGGATATAGTGAATTGTCAATATATTAAAATAATTTCATAGATTTCTGGAAATGTACTGGGTTTTTATTTTACATACTAGCTGCTAGCAGAAATATAGATACAACTGTAATAATTTCTGCTCCAAATAATTTGCTTTATTTCTAATAACATATTTATTATATCAATATCTTATAAATATGAAAGCTTGTGTATAATGATGTATAATCCAGACAATACTGAGACAATATTCAATGCATCTATATACGAGTACATATAAATGTTTGTATCCATTCACTGATGTACACTTAACAATTACTATTGCAATATGATAAAGTTGACTAAAGTTTGAATTGATTATTATGTAATGTTCATAGTCATTGAAATTATATGACAGTATCAAAAACGCATTTTGTGGGATACACATATATATCCCTCACTAAGTTAATCTTCTAGATTATTTTATATCACATTCTTTAACTATTAGAAAATAAATGTATAATGTAAAACGTTTCAAGGTTAATGCTTAAAGCAATGCTATGTAGATTTGATGTATATATCTGAAATATTTTGTGTAACAGAATTTAATTTGGTAGCCAATTCATGGACAAACACTGCTGCAAGATATTGCACAGATATTTTAAAAAGACATATTGAATATGTTACATGATTTGATTTTATATTGTACTTAGTTAAATGCAAGTATAAGTATTTTATACTTGATATGCTTTTTTTCTTGATTTTTAAAATCAATACAGAATTTTCCATCAGGACAGATTGTGTTTTGATTTCGCAAACAATCATTTTAATGGATTTCATTTTACACTTCTTTGCACCACATTACCATATATTATGATAAGTGTATATAGAATTAAAAAAAGAGAGTTTAATAACATATTTATAGACATGTGAGTGTTATGAAAAGTAGGATATCGCATAACATGCCCTTTATGCAAGGGAGGTAAACCATCCACCTTCAATAAGAGTCAAGTATTATTCATCAAGTATATACTATGATGATGAAATAAATATTGAGAGGTGAGTATAATGGGAAGAGGGAGGTCACTGGCCAGCCCGTAAAGGGAGGTAAACCATCCCTCTTCATAATGTTCCATACACTACTTATCAAGTATATACTAATTGAATGTAAAACATGATTGACGTATAATATATTTTAAGCACAAAATACTTAAATATGTAGAATTTGAACATGGATTTGTATGTCAAAGAAGAGTGAATATATATAATAGCATATACTTCAAATTATGATCTGTCCTGCTTCGTGTAATTTACAGGATTTAAACACACTTTTCATATTGTAGTAGAATACAATCAATAGTATCAGATGTTACTTATTACCTGTGTATATATTATTAACAGTTGAAGATTTTAATGTATTCATACTTCGAAGCTGTTTTGTCACTAAATATTATACAAGTTTTGTTCATGACTATCAGTATCAAAGCTAATGTCTAACAGTGTATTCTTTATATGCTTATAATTATTACAAAACTGATTTTTTTATTACCATTTCTAGTACCTAAGTTCAGAATATATAAATTAAACAACATTCATTTTGTCTTATGTCTTCTCTCATTGCAAGCTTGTATTTACAAAGTGTCCAAAGGAGAAAAAATGCTATAAATTATGAATTGAGTTAAATGGTTCAATTGTTCATGGAGCATTTGGCAAACCTCGGCTGATTCTGTTATCTTCATCAAGTGAGATTAGATGAGCTACAAATTGGCTGAGATGTGCCAAATGGGTTCATGGGGGTTATCGTAATGACTGTAGAATCTTTCCGTCCGATTATATCAGACAGACAACTCAATCATTAATGTCTACTACAAGGTACCTGTATTGGCATATGATCCACTGATTTGCATAGAAAACTGATAATTAAATTTTCATCTCAAAATCTCAGACATATAAATACCTCCCACCTCATTTCTGCCTGTTCAATCAAACCAGTAGAGCTACAGTCTCGACAGAGACTTCTGGTTTTTTATAGGAGTAACATATAAAATAGTGACCTCAGGGGCTCTTTTTCTTCAAAAAATGATATTTTTTCTACGGGGGGGGGGGGGGGGGTCGGTTCATTTTCTGTCGTTGAAAAGTGACCCCCAGGTCATTATTCGATGGGGGTCATTATTCGTCTTTAATTTACACCAGGCGATTGCATGGCAAGTTTTAAACTAGTGGGTATTGTTTTTTTAACAAAAAACACATGTCTCCCCTTCTTTAACAACATTAACAAATGCAGTTTTACTATGAAGGTGAAAAAGAATAATGCAGTGCATCTTTCAAGTCTTTTATAGGATCTAAAGTTATTGTCTGGTCTTGCTTTTTTCTTAATTTAATCTTAAAAGAAGAAAATGGTCAAGGTCAAAAAAATTGATGTAGTGTATTTAGGCTTAAAGTTGTCTTTACTTGTCAAGAAAGGTATCAAGTTATCAATTCAAATATATTTCATATGAACGTTTGACCTTGACCTAATAATAATTGGATCAAGGTCAAAAATTTTCATCACATAATCTCTCCATCTCAGTGTCCTCTGCATGTTACAAGTTTGAAGTCTAAATGTCAAAAGATTCTCAAGTTATGTTCAAAACATGTTTTTTTTCTCTATTTGACCTTGGGTCAAGGTCAAAGTCCTTGTGCACTAGATCTTGTATTTAATGTCTTCTTTCTATGTTACATGTTTGAAGTCCTAATATCAAAGGGTATTCAAGCTATGGCCTAAACTCAATTTAGATGTGAAAATTTGACCTTGACCTAATAATATTGGATCAAGGTCATATAATATGATCACATAAACTTTCTCCAATGTGTCCTCTGCATGTTCCCAGTTTGAAGTCTAAATCTCAAAGATATCTCAAGTAGTGGTCAAATCATGTTTTTCTTTATTTGACCTTGAACAAAAAAAGGGTCAAGGTCAAAGTTCTTGTGCACTGCATCATGTATTTAATGTCTCCCTTCTATGTTTTAAGTTTGAAGTCCTAATATCAAATGGTATTCAAGCTATGGCCTAAACTCTATTTTGTTGTGAAAGTTTGACCTTGACCCAATAAACATTGGATCAAGGTCAAAAATTTTGATCACATACACCTTTCTCCTATGTGTCTTCTGCATATTCCAAGTTTGAAGTCTAAATGTCTAAGGTATCTAAAGTTATGTTAAAATCATGTTTTTTCTCTATTTGACCTTGAACATAGAAAGGGGTCAAGGTCAAAGTTTAGGTGCACTACATCTTGTATTTAATGTCTTCTTTCTATATTTCAAGTTTGAAGTCCTAATATTAAAGGGTACTCAAGCTATTGCCAAAACTCTATTTTAATGTAAAAGTTTGACCTTGACCTTATATATAGACCAAGGTCAAATATTTTGGAGGCGGACACTCCGCCTCAAGGTCATCTATCTAAGTTCCAAGTATGAAGTCTTCAGGTCAAAGGGTATTCAAGTTACGGCCTGGACAAAATTTGGATGAAGAAGAATAATAATAAGAAGAAGAATAAGAATAAGAAGAATAAGAAGAATAAGAAGAATAAGAAAATCGACAAAAACAATATGTCTCCCCTTCGGAAGGGGAGACATAATAATTTGTTCTCGTCTTCGTCTGTACTTTCTTCGACTTTAGTACAAGTCATGAGCATGATGAGAGGGGTTGCAGTAATCTCAGGTTTAGGATTGTGCAGACAAAACAAAAGAATGCTGGGGTTTTCAGTGATATTTTCTATTTTACTGCTACATAATATGTCTCAATGCTGCAACTCGATTGTTTCAAAATCGAATTCATCTAACTCCATTTCTAAACCAAACTGAAAGTAACTAAACTAATGTTGGCTCTCATAACTAGCCATTGTAAGGAAATATACATCACATTTGCAGACGATTGTGTATACATACGGTTATGATAGAAACGAAATGAAACTAAAAATGACAACAAAATGAACATTTGTGTTTCATATTTTATTAAAGTTTCGACTGACATGTAAATAAGCACTGTCAAAATACGTATATTTACATTTAGAAGTACTTTAAAAAGTAGTCTAAAGAATATTTACATTCATACGCAGGCAGAATACTTTGAGAAAAGCCCGTATATTACTGGGTTAGGAATTGACAGGTTTACGGAGTAATTATGTCAGTGTTTTTTACATGTATAAGAAATGAAGATGGAATCTTTGGTGGATGTAAAATACTAGTAATGACTAACATGTTTCTAGTTGCCAATGGTTTAAGTCCGATATTTGCTTTTTATTTGAAATTCTTGAAACTATGAATTTCTGAACAAGTTTGATTGGCACACATTCCTCATCGTCTCAAGCCACGGTCCGGAGTCCGCATATATAGCTCTCCCCCAGATAGGAGAGGAGTGTACATTTTGGCCGTGGTTTGCGACGATACACATTCCTGTACTTTTGTAAAGCGTTATTTATTCCGTATGTTGACAAAATGTCGAAAATTTCCTGTATTTAAGGGTCCTCCACACCATGTGACTTGTGACGTATATAGAGAAAAAATACTTTTACTTCCGGTTCTATCGAATTTATACACGAACGATTTGGCCTAGCACCGTTTGTAAACAATGAACACATGACATGATCACGGTGTGATCGATGGAAAATGATGTGCGGGTTTTTTTTTTTAAAATAAAAGAACAACAGACGTCTTGGATTATGTTACATAATAATTCGTAAACAGCAGGTACCGGTGGGTATGACGAGAAACGTTTAGATTTACTTTCAGGCTAATCAACCGAGTCTGTTTTGATAGTTGAAATTTCGGCACACTAATTTGTGCGTTTCAAAAATGATTTATCTCATTGTGTGTTTATACATACTGAGAAAATAGTGTGCGTTTCTAGTTTTCCTCTTTTATATTTGTCCAGTTCAGTGGCCAGTAATTACTAAATATACATAATAAGGCGACGTATGCGTATACTTGCCAAAGTTTTTGAGTCCCGGGCAACAGGAAAGATAACTCCAAAAAGGAACTTTGATACCAAAGATTTTGAAAATGTTTTTTCTACATCAGTGCATTTAATTTTAATTCAATTTTTTGATGTAATCTAATTCATTAATATTTCTTTTCTACAAAAGGAGTCCTTATTGATTTTTCTCGAGATGTATTTCAGAGAAAATGAGTTTTATGTATTTTTTATATATAAAATAAATTTCTGAAAAAAATATGTTGATCGATAAAATTAAGTTTTTATGGTTATTCTGTGAGCTTAAAAATATACGAAAGGGTAAGACAGAATTTGTTGTGCTAAGTATGAAAACGCCTTGGGAAAAATTTCTTGAAACTTATGAAATTTTTATTTTAAAAAATCCGTATAAATTACATTTTAATCCCTGGACAGTTTCTGAAGGTTGATATGCTTGTAAAAAGTAATGCTCAATAATATGAGAACATAAGCTGTGGGTGTGTGGAGGACCCTTAATGAACATTATTAAAACTTTAATCCGGAACATTCATAATATACTTGTTAAAAAAGTAACAAATCAAGATGGTCGACTCGTCTACAGTGATTTTTGTCGTATATCAACAAATTGAACACACTTGGTAACGCAATAACAATTGTTAAACAACAATAGAGCTCATGCCCATGTTTATCAACGCAGATGTTGGATCTTATATTACATTGTGATATTAAATTTTAAGAATATGTCTGAACAGGTATTTGTTCATGAAAGCACTTACACTTACATATTTTCATATAAATTAAATTTGAGAACAAACCGGCAATATATGAAAATGTCCTTTCCTTATTGGCTCATGCTCTGCAAATTAAATCACTTTTGAACATATATTTTAACCCAAAAAATAAAGCAGAGGCTGATATTCCCCTTGATTTTCTCAATTTATTTTCCCAAGAGTTGAGTTATGTGTTTTGATATTAAGTATCTCAGGACAGTCTCTATGAGGACACTGTTAGTTGCAATTGAAGGTCCTCCTAAGCTAAATTGTCATTATAGCGAAGCTTCATTTTCACAAAAAGGAAAATCGTAAAGTATAGTAGATATATTGAAAAAATTATTAAGATACTGAAAAATATAAAAATACCAGTTTTAAGAGCTGGGATGTATTTAGAATTATTAATTGACGTAAAGTAATTACTAGTACATAAAGAACGACTAGAGTGAGCATTCCTCTCGCTTGATGTGTATTTACCACCAATTCTCTTGGTTATAGGTGATATGTCGTAGTTTTGATTCAATTAACTGGTGCTTGGGTAGATTCTGGGATTCCTTTGGCCGGGGAAACAGTTGATGGTTTATCTAAATTACAGATTTTAAAATTTCGAGTGTTTTCTAAACTTTTTTTCTTCAAAATGTAATGTTTCATAATAGGTTGACTTAACTGAAATATCTTGCATTCTTACCTAGTTGACATTTGTTGCCTTCACATGTGCATCCGATAACAGGGTTACATGACAAGTGTCGCTCACAAGAACATCGATTCTGACAAAATCTGCCATACCATCCAATGGGACATTTCACTCCACAATTTTCTCCCATCGAGCCCGGTGGACATTCTAAGTATTATATGAAAATATATACAGTTCATTTGTGAATGACGACTAAAAGTAGTTATCATCCACATTTGAATCAAAACCTACTTCAAAGGACATAAAACAAAGAGACAGACCTTCACACTCGTCTCCATTTAGTCTGTAGTTGGGACAGCAGTGTTTTTTATCAGTTTTATTAAATAAAAATTATTTTGTTTTGAGTAGTTTTTGCAATAGATATTTAAAAAAAAATAGAAATAGAAAAGAAAAAATAGAAAAAATGTATTTTTACAGTTTGAAAAGATTAAATTTCTAAACTGTCCTACCCTTGTTGTGTACATTCACCAGGAGGGATAATCCTTGCGTGTAGTTTTCTGAACAAAAAGCGGTGTTTACCTTCCAAAAGAACAAATGTAAAGATAATCTGTATGAACGTTGCCACAATCTTTATATATGAACATCCGTTAGAAAAAAATTTTTTTACACCTAGGCATTAATTGTGCATGAATCTGAGATATCCATGCATTTACAATCAAATTTCACGGTGCATTTTCACTGGATATACGACTCGTTTGCTATTAGTTATCATCAATATATATATATATTATTATAACAGTAACTTGATCCAAAGGGTCGTATCACGTCAAGTTGACAGGCGCGGATCATCAGATCTAACGAGACGCGAAGCGTCGAGTTTGATCTTATGATCCGCGCCTGTCAACGAGACGTGATACGGCTCTTCGGATCAAGTTACTGCTATAATGATAAATTTATTATATACCCCCTTATAACTAGCTAAACATAGCAAAATAAAACTTTTTATTATATACCCATCAATTTCCTTGTTTTTGTTACTGTTAATTTTACAGAGTTTGATTCGATTTTCCGGATCACCACACTGTGGTTTTCTGAATCCATATCACCACTCTCTGAAACTGATGACGTAGTACGCAAAAACATGACGTTATTTTTCTTGCGCGTTAAAAAGTCCCTTGTCATTATGCTTTGTTTTATGGATAAATTATATACAACTGATCTCTAAAGTTTTATTCTGCTCTATTTAGCTAGTTATAAGGGGGTATATAATAAATTTATCATTATAACAGTAACTTGATCCGAATAGCCGTATCACGTCTCGTTGACAGGCGCGGATCATCAGATCAAACTCGACGTGTAGCGTCTCGTTAGATCTGATTATCCGCTCCTGTCAACTCGACGTGATACGACCCTTCGGATCAAGTCACTGTTATTGTAATATATATAGAGATCAATTGTATAATATTTATCCATAAACAAAGCATAATAACAATGGACTTTTTAACGCGCAAGAAAAATAACGTCATGTTTTTGCGTACTACGTCATCAGTTTCAGAGAGTGGTGATATGGATTCAGAAAACCACAGTGTGGTGATCCGGAAAGTCGGATCACGACGTCACGTGATTCCACTAATTCTACAGTAAAATTGAGTGATACACGTTAGGTATATAACAAGAGGCCCATGGGCCTTATAGGTCACCTGAGCACCATGCAACAACTTTGCAACGAATGACTTTGGTTCATGTTTTAAACTAGACATCATGGCATTCACAATTTTGAAAGAGGCACCAATGCTAATCATAAACATACACTTAGCATGTTTATTTTGGTTACTTAATACCCATAGACAGAGCAGGGGAACAAAAAAATGTATCCAAACTAATCAGTAATATTAAGCAATAATCAGTAGTGCCACTACCTTGGTCCACACATTTCACAATTTTGGAAAAGGCGCCATGTTTGATTAATAGAAAGGAGAAGATTTCAATCAATTAATTCATTTTCACTATATAAGTAGAGCCCCCCCCCCCTCTATGGTACCCCTGACCCAGGGGCGTTGAAATTCACAATTCAGGAAGAATGGCCCTTGCTCATCATAGTTATATAGGTAGTTCATCTGCTTAATACCCAGGAGCAGAGAAGAAGATTTTCAAACAATTTCTGCATTTTCTCTATTAAACCAATAGAGCCCCGCCCTAACAACAGAACCCCTGACACTGGGGCCATGAAATTCACAAAGGCATTCTTCCAAATCATTACTATGTTCTTAGTTAGTTTATTTAATACCCAGGAACAGAGAAGAAACTTTTTCAAGAAATAATGTATTTTCACTATATAATCAATAGAGCCCCACCCTAAGACCAGAACCCCTGACCCTGGGGCCATAAAAATTCACAATTTTTGAAGAGACATTCTTGCTCATCATAACTATGTACTTAGTTAATTTATTTAATACTCAGGAGCAGAGAAGATTTTCAAAGAATTAATATATTTTCACTATATAATCAACAGAGCCTCGCCCTAACACTTGAACCACTGACCCTGAGGCCATAAAATTCACAATTTTGGAAGAAGCATTCTTGCTCATCAAAACTATATAATTAGTTAATTCTTTGAATACCCACTACCCAGCAGTAGAGAAGAATATTTTCAAACAATTTCTGCATTTTCTCTATATAATCAATAGAGCCCCCCCCCTATCACTAGAACCCCTGACCCTGGGGCCATGAAATTCACAATGTTAGAAAAGGCATTCTTTTTCATCATAATTATGTACTTGGTTAGTTTATTTAATACACAGGAGCAGAGAAGAAGATTTTCAAACAAATTCTGCATTTTCTCTATATAATCAATAGAGCCCCGCCCTAGCACTAGA